ACGCCCTTCTCGAAGCCTGAGCCAGCTTCAGCCATCAGTAGCTTCTCCCTCAAGACGGCCACCATGCTGACGGGGGAGCGCAGCGTTGTGGTTCTGCAGCAGCAACACCACACCCCGGCACCGATTGTTCCAGTGCGTCAATTAACCACTACCTCGCACAGCGGGGGCTCTAGACTGTCGCTGTCCCAGTCCACCCCCATGTCCTCTGCGGGCTCTCGACTGTGCCGCAATGAGGGCTACTCTAACGCGAGTGTTTCCTCGGTGAGTACCATCTGTGTGTACACAGTTGCATTTTATTTTATCTACCAGACAGCCGCCATCCACGTTACAGTACTTCTAGGGGGCGGGTGCGGACGCCAAATCTCTTCCAGTAGCCGAACTATGCTCCCTGTTGGGGTCAGAATACATCAGTCGGGAAGAGGAAATCGTAGAACGTTCTGCCAATTGGGTGCAAATTTTAGGCGTGCTATGAATCTGCAGTCAGTAATGCACCAGTGGAACTTATTTGAAGTTCAAATCTTCGGTTTTTCAACCACGAAACATGCAGGGAATGGTGTTGACTCATCAGTAGTACCTGGGACGTCACCATACAGACCCGAAATGCACATGCATTACGCTGTGCGGCACTCCTCACGCGCTTCTTCTGTCGCGTGCGATTGGTGACTGAGTATGCCACTAGCGCTCCTGAAGGAATATGAAGGTAGTTAACTATGAAAAGAAGATAATCAGTGGTTTGAAGTACTATTACTCGAAGGCTCTGTCGTGAAACATAGCTTCCGGCTGGTCCTTTGGAACACCAACAGTCCCCTAAGGTATACGGCATCTGTGAATGCCTTGTTTAACGACATCCTGTGTGATTTCCAAAATCACAACAGTCAAACAGGACCCTTTAGGACAGAATGGACTTCAAAGTGAAGGCTTTATAAGGCGGTTCTGCAGCCTTTGGTAGGATTTATCCAGTTTTTTGGGCTTGTATGCATTTTATAAATTAGGGTCTCTTTTCCGAATGACAGAACGTGCCACTGTCTCCAGCTCCTATTTCCAACCTCCGATTGATTACCTACACGCAAAACTCCTCCACTTAGCCATTGCTGTAGCCGAAATCGTC